CACATCCCAAATAAAAGAACAGAAGAAACCTCCTGAATCAGTGGAACTAGAGGAAATACAGGCAACCAACCTATCTAAGACAGAGTTTAGAACACTGATGATTAGAATGTTCAAGGAAATTAGTGAGAATACAAAGGATAGAGAAATCATGAAAAATAGCCAGCTAGAACTAAAGAATACAATTACTGAAATAAATAACAAACTCGAATAAATAACTGAAATAAATAACAAACCAGCAGACTGGATGAAGCAGAAGATTGAATCAGTGACTTAGAAAACAAGATAGCAGAGATCACCCAAGCAGAACAACAAAAAGAAAAAAGAATAAAAAACACTGAAAATAGTTGAAGAGAGCTGGGGGTTAACATCAAGTGCAACAACATGTGCGTCACAGGAATACCAGATGGAGAAGAGAGGGAGCAAGGGATCGAGAATATATTTGAAGCAATAATGACTGAAAACTTCCCTAGCCTGGCAAAGGAAATCGACATACAAGCCCCAGGAAGTGCAGAGAGTTCCAACCAAAATGAACCCAAACAGGCCCACACCAAGACACATTATAGTGAAAATGGCAAGGGTTAAAGACAAAGACAGAATCCTAAAAGCAGCAAGAGACAGGTAGCAAGTTATTTACAAGGGCATCCCCATAAGATTATCTGCCTACTTTTCTACAGAAACTCTGCAGGCCAGAAGGGAGTGGCAGGAGGTTTTCAAAGTGATGAAAAACAAATGCCTACAACCTAGATTGCTTTATCCAGCAAGGTTATCATTTAAAATTGAAGGAGAGATAAAGAGCTTCTCAGAAAAGACTAAGATAAAGGAATTCATACCACCAAGCCAGCATTGCAGTAAATGTTCAAGGGGCTTCTTTAAGCAGAAGAAAAAGAAAAACAATCTAAATAAGGAAGACCAGGAACACAAATAACAAAATGGCAATAACTATGCACCTATCAATAATCACATTAAATGTAAATGGATTAGAGGCTCCAATCAAAAGACATAGGGTGGCTGATTGGATAAGAAAGTAAGACCTTTGCATATGCTGTATACAAGAGTCTCACCTCAGATCAAAAGACACATACAGGCTGAACATAAAGGGATGGGGTAAAATATTTCATGCAAATGGAATGAGAAAAAAACTGGAGTAGCAACCTTATATATTGACAGACATAAAGATAGACATCAACAGTAACACTATCATAGTAGGGGACTTCAATACCCGGTTGTCACCAATGGACAGATCCTCCAGACAGAAAATCAACATGGAAACAGTGGCTTTAAATGACACTTTAGGCCAGCTGGATTTAATTGATATTTTCAAAGCTACAGAATTACATTCTTCTCAAGTGCACATAGAACATTTTCCAAGATAGACCACGTTAGCCCACAAAATAAGTCTCAATAAATTTAAGAAAATTGAAATCATATCAAGTGTCTTCTCTGACCACAGTGCTATGAAATTAGAAATCAACTACAAGAAAAAAACTAGAAAGCAAACAAATACATGGAGGCTGAATAACATGTTACTAAAGAGCGAGTGGGTCAAAAATGAGATCAAGGAAGAAATCAAAAGATACCTCAAGACAAACGAAAATTAAAACACCACGACCCAAAATCTTTGGAATGCAGCGAAAGCAGTGCTATGAGGGAAGTTCATAGCAATGCAGGCCTACCTAAAGAAGCAAGAAAAATCTCAAATCAACAGGCTATCCTTACACCTCAGGGAACTGAAAAAAGAACAGCAAAATAAGCCCAAAGGAAGTACAAGGAAGGAGATAATAAAGACCAGAGCAGAAATAAATTAAACAGAGACTAGAAAAACAATACAAAAGATCAACAAAACCAAGAGCTGGTTTTTTGAGAAGATAAACAAAATTAACAAACCTCTAGCCAGACTCATCAAAAAAAAAAAAGCCAGAGAGAGGACTCAAATTAGTAAAATCAGGAATGAAAGAGAAGTGACAACAGACACCACAGAAATACAAAAAATTTTAAGAAAATACTATGAGCAACTATATGCCAACAAATTTGACAATCTGGAAGAAATGGATAATTTTCTGGAAGCATACAGCCTTCCAAAGCTAACTCAAGTAGAAATGGAAAATCTGATTAGACTGATTACTACCAAGGAAACTGAATCAGTAATCAACAAACTCCCAACAAAAAAAAGCCCCAGGACCAGATGGCTTCACAAGTGAATTTTATCAAACTTTCAAAAAAGAATTATCACCTATTCTACTCAAACTATTCCAAAAAATCCAGAAGAAGGGAAGGCTCCCAACTCTTTTTATGAGGGCTCTATCACCCTGATCCCAAAATCAGACAAAGACACTACAAAAAAAGAAAACTACAGGCCGATATCCCTAATGAACATAGATGCAAAAATCCTCAACAAAATATTAGCAAACAGAATTCAGCAATATATTAAGAAGGTCATATACCTTTATCAAGTAGGGTTCATCCTTAGTATGCAAGGTTGGTTCAATATCTACAAATCAATTAATGTGACACACCACATCAACAAAATGAAAAATAAAAATCATATGGTCATATCAATAGATGAAGAAAAAGCAGATCACAAATACAGCAGCCATTTATGATAAAAACTCGTAGCAAAGTAGAAATAGAGAGATCATATCAGAACATAATAAAGGCCATATATTATAAACCCACAGCTAACATCATACTCAATGGGGAAAAGCTAAAGCCATTCCCCTTAAGATCAGGAACAAGACAAGTCTGTCCACTTTCTCCACTTCTATTCAACATAGTTCTGGAAGTTCTAGGCACAGCAATCAAAAAAGAAAAAGCAATAAAAGGCATCCAAATTGGTAAAGAGGAAGTAAAATTGTCATTGTATGCAGATGACATGATACTATACATAGAGAACCCTAAAGACTCCACCAAAAAACTATTGGAACTGACAAATGAATTCAGTAAGGTAGCAGGATACAAAATCAATATTCAGAAATCAGTTCCGTTTGTATACACCAAAA